GTGTGGCCGCTGTGACGACAAGCACAGTCAGGACATAGTTGTGCACACAGTCGGTGCATACTGCTTGCGACAGACGGTCACCGCATTCTTATGCCCTGAGCCGGTGACGCCCGTGCCCGCCCCTGCTTTGCCCCTTCCGTGGTCCTCGACCCTGGGGGTCGATCGGGGTCGGACAGATAGGACCGGCTCAGTCTTCCTGCCCTGGAGAGCAGCGTTCCCAGCTGAGCTGGTCTGGCTTCAGTGGATCTCATGCCCCATGGGTGCGCGACCACTGGGGAGGCCCGCGAGTGGTGGGACAGGTAGCAGCCGAGAGGTAGCGAGAGGGGCGCACAGAGAGGCACGATGAAGGCGGAAGGACACCATGTCAGCCAGGCTGGACGCGACTCGCGAGTGGTGGGACAGGTAGCAGCCGAGAGGTAGCGAGAGGGGCGCACATAGAGGCACGATGAAGGCGGAAGGACACCATGTCAGCCAGGCTAGACTACACCCTAAGGCAGCCTGGAGGGGGAACACCGAGGCAGACCGGGGGAGGGAGGGGGCAACGAGGCAGCTGGGGGCCACCAAGGCGGGGGGGTGACACTGAGACAGCCGAGAGGAATCCCGAGGCAGTCAGGGAGGATACCGCAGTAATTGTGGGACACCGAGGCACTTTGGGGGAAGAGGGGGAGACAAGATGGGCAGGGAGGGACACCAAGGCAGTCAGGAGGGGGAACAAGGAGGCAGCTGGGAGGGCAGTGAGGTAATTGGGGGGCACCGAGGCAGTTTGGGATGACATTTAAGCAGTCAGGGGGATACCGAAGTAATTGAGGGGACGCCGAGGCAGCGGGGGTGGGGCACAGAGGCAGCCTCTGTGTCTCCAGGACATGGTCTCAGCCATGGTCACCTGCACACCTTCACCCCTCCCTGCCCGATAGCTGGGGATCTTTACTGCTACCTGAGTCTCCTCCTGTCCTGGAGATTGACCTCATGACTTTAGACTTAGCCTCAAACACCCACCACATTGACCTTGGGACCTCAGGCTTGGCCTCAAGACCACCACACTTAGAACATGCACGTGAGTGCGGTGACACTGTGCACGTGAGTGATGTGCCACTGTGCCTGTGATTGCCTAATCTGTACCCACCCAGCCATAGAGGTCCCTTGTCCTAGGTACCCTGAAGGGACCAGCCCCCTCCTTTAGCAGCCATGACAGGCTGTAGAATAGACATGCATGTAGGCTTTTGGCTCAACACATGTCTGACCTTGCTGTGCATGCCCTGGTCACTAAGAGGTCAGACACCCTGCTGGTGACAAGGATCCAATCAGAAGTCATCTGGCAGGACTCTGGATGTGCCTCACAGGTCTGGATGTGCTTTATGGTACAAGTGGCACAATAGTGATGTGCAGAGCATAGCAAGCACACTGAGAGAGCCTATAGGCCATCACAAACAGTTGACCAATCAACACAGGATAGGTCGTCCAATCCATAAGCACACCTATCCTGAGACTGTTGCATACTCCTGGACACTCTCCTTACTCTGCCTAATAAGTTCCCCTCCTGATTCCCCTGGGTCCTTCTCTGGCCATCCACCATGATGAAGGGCCCGAGTTATTTCAATTAGCTAGTTAAAGAACAATAAAAGAATCTTTGCTTTTGCATCAGAACAGGTCTCTTGGTGATTTGGGGATTCAGAATCTGGGCACAACCACCCCATACCCGACTGGGGTGGTCCGTGGCTTTCTTCTCCATTGAGCTCTAGCTGTTGTGGAATTTGATGCATAGAATAGGCTGACTTCAAACACAAAGAGATCTGCCTGCATTTTGATTAAAGTTGTTTGACTCACTGGGTGGTGGTGGATTAAAGTGGGTAAGAACAGGCAAAGTTATTACACAAGTAAACCTATTTCAAAAAATCAAAACACAAAGTTGTCAGAGACAGCTGACCCAAGCTCATAGGAGCTCTGGACCAACATCTAGGGAGACTTTATGGGACTGAACTAGGCCCTCTGCATGTGGGTGACAGTTCTGTGGCTTGGTCTATTTGTGGGTCCCCTAGCAGTGGCACCAGGATCTGTCCCTGGTGCATGAGCTGACTTTTTAGAGCCCATTCCCTATGGTAGGATGCATTGCTCAACCTTGAAGCAAGGGGGAAGGACTTGGTCCTGTAGTGCTTCCTTGATTCCCCATGGGAAACCTTACCCTTGGCGAGGAGTAGATGGGGGTGGGGTGGAGAAATACCATACCCACTCTTAGGAGTGGATGGGGGTGGGGGGGAGGGGGTTGGGGGAGCAGGAGAAGGGGAGGGAGAGAGAATAGTGGTTGGTGTGTACAATGAAAAAAAATTAAAATAACCCAAAATGTGCACTATGTCCTGCTTAAAATTTACTTTTCTTATTTATTTTTCACAGGGCATGGTAGCCTATGCCTTTAATCCCAGCACTTGGGAGGCAGAAACAGGGGATCTCTGAGTTCAAGGCCAGCTTGGTCTACAGAGTAAGTTTCAGGTCAGCAAGGGCTACACAGAGAAACACTGTGTTGAAAAATAACAACAAAAACAGATTTTGTTTTGTTTTGTTTTTGAGGCAGAGTTTCTCTGTGTAGTCCTTACTATTTTGGAACTCCATCTATAGATCAGGCTGGCCTCAAACTCGGAGATCTACCTGCCTCTGCCCCCTGAGTGCTGGGATTTTAGAGGCATTGTTTACCACTGTCCAGTAAAAAAAAAAAGATTTACTAAAATATCTATTTATGTGTGTGTGTGTTTGTGTATGTGCCATGCCCTATGCATGTATCCAAAGAGGCCAGAAGAGAGAATCAGATCTATAAAAATATAGTTATAGAAAGTTGAACTAAACTCGGGTCCTCTGGAAGAGAAGAAAGCCCTATGATGAGCTCTCTCTCCAGGCCCTCTTCTGTACATTTTTTTGGTGATACTTTTCCCTTCACATAGAATGTTCTTACCCATGGTCTTCACCCAGTGAAAATCTACTTTTGGATCCAATTCAAACACCCCTCACCCAACCTTCACTGGTATCACTCACACACACACACACACACACACACACACACACACACACACACACACTGTTGTTCTTGAAGCACAGTATTACACTGCAGTAGTTATTTCAGTGTCCATGTCTCCTAGTAGGTATAAGTGCTTGAAAAGCAGAGCTTCCAAATATAACACTTTAGCCACTGAATTAACTATTTGAAGGGTATTGAGTGACTCCTCCTGTAAAAAGGCCTGCTGAAGACTTCCTTTTTCCTGGCTGACCTTCAGTCATCCTCATAACTATTGTTTTGATTCAGAGAGCAAAGACTACAAAACTTTGTTGGCAAGATCTGCATCCTTGTGTCTTCATGTTCACCTTTTTCTTGGTACTTAGTGTCTTAAGTCTTTAAGACCTGCCTAGATAATTAAATCATATGAACTACCTCAAAGAATAAAGGGGGCTGGAAATGACTTTTAAGAATAACACTAAATCTTTTGGTTTTCTTCCTTCCTTCCTTCCTTCCTTCCTTCCTTCCTTCCTTCCTCCCTCCCTCCCTTCCTTCCTTCCTTTCTTTTTTCCTTTCCTTCTTTCTTTTCTTTTTGAGACAGCTCTGGCTGGCCTACAACTTACTTTGTAGACCAGACTAGCTAGCTTCCAATTTCCATTGACTATGCCTGCCTCTGCCTTGTGAGTGCTGAGATTAAAGGTGTGTGCCACCACATCCAGCCCAGTCTTTTTAAAATTATTTTGCTCATAGTGTTGTGCCCAGATTCTGAACCCCCAAATCACCAAGAGACCCGTTCTGATGCAAAAGCAAAGAGTCTTTTATTATTGTTGTTTTAAAGAGCTAACTGCATTAACTCAGGCCCTTCTCAGTTCATCAAGGTGGATGGCTGGAGAAGGACTCAGAGAAACCGCAAGGCTGGGGTGGGGTGGGGGGGCTTATTGGGCAGCTTAAGCAACAGTCTCATGATTGGTGAATGCTTCCGGGCGTGGACGGCCTGTCCTGTGTAGATTAGTCAACAGGTTGTTATGGCCTATAGGCCCGCCCAGAGCGGTTGCTATGCTCTGCACAGCACTGTTGTGCTACTTTTACCATAAAGCGCCTTAAAGCATGTCAGCTAACTTCTGATTGGTTCCTTGCCACATGAGTATTTGACCTCCTAGTGACTGGGAGGAGGGGCAAGAACAGGCAAGCACATGTTGGACCTTCCCTGCAGCTTGTCAAGGCTGCTAAAGCAGGGGGCTGGTCCCTTCAGTAGTTATACAGACACACACAAAATATACTGATGACAGGCAAGCTGAGATTCATTCCCAACTCCATCTCTTTTATTATTTTGTGGGGCAATACATAGGAGATTTAACTTAGAAATATGGGCATCCTAGACAAGCATCATCACTGAGCCACTCCACCAGCATCCACACCCCACTTAATTTTTTTTTGAGACAAGATTTCTCTGTGTAGCCCTGGCTGTCCTGGAACTCGCTCTGTAGATCAGCCTGGCCTCAAACTCACAGAGATGCACCTGCCTCTGTCTCCCAAGTGCTGGGGTTAAAGGCGTATGCCACCACAGTCAGGTTTAAAAACATGTTTTTGAGACAGGTCTTGCTATGTTACCTAGTTGGCCTTGAACTTTCAACATTCCTCCTAACCCTGCCTCCCAAATGCTACGATTACAGGCATGTGTTACCATGCCCAGATTTTCTCTCTTTTAATAGAAAGGAATATAAGTCATTGGATATATTTTATAGAATTCAGGTGTTCAAACTGTATAAACTTAAAGCAGCCAAAATGCCCGTAAAGATTTACAGAACAAGCCTGGTGGTGGTGGCCTACATCTTTAATCCCAGAACTCAGAGACAGAGAGGCAGGGGGATCTCTGTGACCTACAGAGTGAGTTCCAGGACAGCAGCAACAAAATACAAAGAAAGAGAAGTGAGGAGAGGAGAAAGGGGAGGAGAAAAAGTAAACACAGGCCCAACATTTTCACTTTAGAATTATCCAACTTTTCTTATACATTCAAAGCTTAACTTTGCATTTTGTAAAATGTTTTATTTAGATAATGTATTTAAATAGCAACTATCACTGTTAGAAGCAGGAAATTACTATCACTTGGCATTAAGTAGAAGTCACTGACTGAAATGTGTATAATTATGAAGATTATTAAATCCCAGCTGGGTATAGTTTTTGCCTACTGTAGCTTTAGAGGGGTATTGGTGAGCACTCTCTCCAAACAAAATATAGCCTCTTTGACCAAATCAAATGTATTGAAAAGGAATAACTCCCCACTTAAGATTTAATGTCATTCAATGCCATGTCGCTGTAAAAACTGAAGTTGTCTTCTTCCAGGAGAAATCTTGCAGAATCCAAATCTTCCACCTCACTCCAGTTAAGAGCCTTCCAAAGGAAAACTACTCCTCTGGCTCCTCCTCTAACTTTAAACAAAAGAACAGATTTCCTTGTCTGATAAGTAGTCAAAGCCTTAGGCTTTGTGGGCTCAGAAAACTAGTTTCTAAAGCCTACCAACTCCCAAAGTGGCTAATCCCTGAAGGCCAAGGCCACTTTGTTCCCCTACAGGAGTTGAGAAAGCCACTAGAACACTGACAATAAAAGGGTAATGTTGGTAATTTTTCCTCCAAGGCACTTTCTTAACAAAGGCCTTAGAAGGCATTTAAATGGTTGTGATGTGATTCCTACTAGAAAGGGTGACTTTTCCTCACTCCCCTGGAAGGTTGCCAGTAGGGTCACACTGCCTGTCTGGATGTGTGGCCTCAGACATAGGCAATGAAAGGGTCAGGCTGCTCCTGAGCTAGGTTCTAGCTGGGAGACTCTCAAGAGCATCCTCACTCGAGATTTTAGGAACCTCGTGGAGACCTGAAGAGCGACTTTGAGAAGTCTGGGCTAAAGAGGCCTGGGAGTCCTGGGTCTCGGCAGACCCAGGTGGCACCACAGGAACCTCCATGGCCAAAGTATGGCTCTCTGAAGCTTTATCAGACTCAGGTTGTGTTTGAGAGGCAGGAGGATTCTGGAGCTGGCTCTCTTGAGCTAGAGAGCCCTCCATTTGGCTCTGAGAAGTCACCGGTGCCACAGGGAAATCCTCAGAGGGCACAGGCACCAGGAGTTGGCTCTGGCTGTCTACTCGTTCCAGAGGGTAGACCCGAGAGGCCACACTGATCTTAGAGCGCCCCTGGGGGTCTGTGTGCACAGGCACATGGCTGTCAGAGGACACAGAGCCCTGCATTGGGCTCTGAGAAGTCACCGGTGCCACAGGGAAATCCTCAGAGGGCACAGGCACCAGGAGTTGGCTCTGGCTGTCTACTCGTTCCAGAGGGTAGACCCGAGAGGCCACACTGATCTTAGAGCGCCCCTGGGGGTCCGGGCCCACAGGCACATGGCTGTCACAGGACACAGAGCCCTGCATTTGGCTCTGAGAAATCACCGGTGCCACAGAGAAATCCTCAGAGGGCACAGGCCCCAGGAGTTGGCTCTGACTGTCTACTCGTTTTAGAGGGTAGACCCGAGAGGCCACACTGATCTTAGAGCGCCTCTGGCGGTCCGGGCCCACAGGCACATGGCTGTCACAGGACACAGAGCCCTGCATTTGGCTCTGAGAAGTCACCGGTGCCACAGGGAAATCCTCAGAGGGCACAGGCACCAGGAGTTGGCTCTGACTGTCTACTCGATCCAGAGGGTAGACCCGAGAGGCCACACTGATCTTAGAGTGCCTCTGGGGGTCCGGGTCCACAGGCATATAGCTTTCAAAGGACTCAGAACCCTGCATTTGGCTCTGAGAAGTCATGGGGACCACAGGGAAACTTTCAGAGGGCACAGGCACCAGGAGGTGGCTCTGACTATCTTCGGGTTCCAGAGGGCAGACCCGAGTGGCCACTCTGGTTTTAGCGTGCACCTGAGGGTCATGGTTCAGAGGCACAGGGCTGTCAGAGGACAAAGCCATCTGGTAGTTGCTGCCAGAAGTGCCCAACGCCAGAGGGTAGCACTGAGAAGTCGCCGAAAAGAGAGGCTGACTCCTAGAAGTACAAATGGAGAGAGGAGAATGCAAAGGGACCAGAGGCATGCTCTTAGAGGTCTGCATTGAGCAAATCTGTAGCTGGTTCAGAACAGACACAGGCTTCACCAGATGGAGCGAAGTTCTGCCACCTTTGGTCCCGGCATCGCTGTCCCCTTCCATCTGGCTTATTTCGGAAGAGCTGGGGATACTGATCCTCTGGAGGACCCTCGGGAGGAGCCGCCGCCGGCGGCGGCGCCGGCGGATGCGCTGGAAGGTGTTAGAGACGCTCCTGAGGGTCAACGAGAAGCGACGGCTGCCGCTGCGGTGCATCCCCATCTCGCCGGCGCGAGGCAAAGTCATCCTCGCGAAGTCCGGGAGAGCCTCGATGTTGCCGGTGTACCAGAAGATCCACCACAGGAGGCTGACGAAAATGATGATGGAACCCAGATAGAGCAGCATGTCGTAGAACAGCAAGTCAGCGAAGACGCCAGTGAACAGCACTGCCACACCCACCGCGTCGAAGGCGACGCCCAGCCAAAAGAAGGGTCTGCAGCGGCCCAGGCCGCTCTTCCGCGAAATCTCTGTGTTGCTCAACATCGCCTACGCAAATCCCGCAAGAGGCCACCAGGCCCAGGGAGCTGCCACGGGCGGGCTTTGGCCGCTGGATCTCCATGGCAACGCAAGGGGCGGGGCGGGGAGGGACGTTAGGCGGTTCCTTGCCCCGCAAGAGAGGAAACTAGAACTGCGCGGGCGCACTAGGACCCGTTGCACCTTCTACGCTTGCTCAGTGCTCGCCCCTCGCCGGCGTTTTGCCTACTGAATGGCCCTCTGCCCCAGCATCAAGTAAAATTTACACGAGCGAAACTAACCGTACTCCAGGCGAGAATCTTCTCGAGGGAGGGTGAGAGCTTGTGGGAGAGCGGACCACGAGGACTGTTTTCGTGTATCTTCCTGCAACAACTGGAATGCATCTTGGCCTCAGGTGCAGTCAGGCGTTCCTGGTTTTCCTTCACCTGAGAAGTGACTAGATTAGGGTCCGCGTTAGGTCTGAATTCCTGAATTCCCATCTTACCTGGCGACTGTTGATATACGTGTCCAAGGACCTGGTAGACCCCATCACTCTAGTTTCTCCCGCCTGCTGTAGTGGTCGGGGTGGGAGAAGAGGGTAGGCTCAGAGGAGAGAAAATCGCGTTGAGGGCTGGGTTTTGTGTTTTGCTAAAGATGGATTTTAAGACTTCCTAGTACATCTTAAATAGATTTAGGCTTGTAGATCAGACCACACTTATTTAGACTTATAGGCACACACCACCACACTCGGGAAGAAAACTACTCTTATGCTTTCAAAAGTATAGGTCGATAATTAGAAAGGATGTAGGCACTGATAGGTCGCCTGTGCTCCAGTGGATAGTCCATATTCGTGCATGAGCGTTCGAGCAATACTAATTGGACTCAGTGAGTTATTAAAATATTTTAAAGGGGTCAGACTTGATAGTACACGTTTTTAATCCCTGCATTCGCTAGGCAGAGGCAAGTAGATCTCTGTGAGTTCGAACCCAGGCTGTTCTAATTTGGGACTTCCAGGCCAGCCAGGACTATCCTGTGAGACCCCGTATCAAAATAAATAAATGAATGAATGAATGAATGAATGAATGAATGAATGAAAATTAAAAAGGACATGAAGGTTGGTCAGGGAAGTTGGAGGCAGATGTGATCAAGATATACATGTATAAAAATTTCAAATAATGAAAATAAAGTATAAAGATTAGAAAAATGAACGTAGCAAAACATTAATAAGTGTAGAATATAGATGAAACAAGAGTATAGGTGTTCATTGTTAAGTTCTTTCTGTGCTTAGGCTTGGCATTTTTCTCAAAGAGTTGCAGGATTTAAAGTTTTAAATTTAAAAAAAAATGAGTAGCCAGTGGACACGATGGTGTAGTAGTTAAATGCTTGCTCAACATTAAGCCAGACAACCTGAATCCAATCCCCAGGACCCACATGGGGGAAAGAGAACTGACCTCCGCATGAAAATAAGTATCTCATCTTTGGCTGCAAGAGTGCTCAAGGTGGGCAACCCAAATGAGCTTCCTGACCATAGGCCACCACAAGAGGCAGGCTGAGGTCACCCTGTTTCTCAGATGCTTAGAAATTAGCCAGTTTAGCCTGGGGCTCATCTTTGTAGTCCTTGATACAGTCATTCAAGGAATTAGGCAAGCTTAGGTTTGAGTTTCTGACCTGGGCAAGCTCTTTCACCTCCCTTAGGTTTCCTCTGCCTTACTATGAATGAGAGAACAGGTGCCTGTAAGGAGGCTGTGACATTGTCCCTCTTTTGGGAAGTGCTAATAGTTACTTTCTATCAGTGCCTCTCAAACTGTTTCTATTGGGACCCCTTTTGTATGAGAAAATTTCATATGACTGTAGGTATATAGATATATAAAATAGGCACTGGTAATTATAAGCAAATTTATTTTTATTTGTTTTTTTAGAGACAGGGTTTCTCTGTCTAGCTTTGGAACCTCTCCTGGCACTCACTCAGTAGACCAGGCTGGCCTCAAACTCACAGAAATCTGCCTGCCTCTGCCTCCCAAGTGCTGGGATTGAAGGTGTGCACCACCACCGCCTGGCCTACAAATTTATTTTAAAACAAGTCTCTTGTTGATATTTTATTTTTGAGATGGTCTCTTTATAGTCCAAGCTGAACTTGAATTTTCTATGTACCTGAGGATGACCTTGATCCTCCTGCATCCACTTCCAAAGTGCTGGGATTGTGAGAATAGCTATCATGCCCTGCTATTTTAAACAATCCTTTGATATATATTAGACTCATTAGACAAAAGCAAATTGGTATGCTAATAAGATGGATGCACATTTTTATTTTTACATAAAATTAATTCTTGGCTAAATATTTGATACTGTAGGACATAAAGAATCTTCAACATTTTTCAATTAATCAGTATTTTCATTTTATAATCGTTAATGCTGAGAATACAAATGTGTAGAAATATGTAGTACAAAATGGTAGAAATACGTGTAGGAGCATTTTTGGAAATTCTGTTATAATGCCAAAACAAAATTTAACATTTTAAAAAATGAAACTGGGGGGGCTGGTGCACACCCTTAATTCCAGTACTCTTGAGGGAGAGGCAGGTGGATCGCTGTGAGTTCAAGGCCAGCATGGTCTACAGAGCTAGTTCCAGGACAGCCAGGGCTACACAAAGAAACCCTGTCTTGAAAAACCAAAAATAAATAAATAAATAAAAATGTTTGTTTAGGAATGGGGATGCATATACCAGGGCTCAACTATGGAGGTCAGTGGATAACTTGAACTTCTACCGTGTGGGTCTGGGGGATCACATAGGTTGTCAGGCTTAACAGAAAGCAGCTGCTGAGCCATCCCACAGGTCCATCCAACAGTTTTAAAAATTAAACATTCTAGCCAGGCATGGTGTTTACTCCCAAAACTGGGAAGGTGGAAGCAGGCAGATTTCTGAGTCTGAGGCCAGCCTTAACAACATAGAGAGTTCAAGGCTAGCCAGGGCTACATAGTGACACCATGTATGTGTGTGGGAACGGGGTAAACATTGTAACAGACTTACTGAGGAAAGATAGTAAAAAATACTAAATCCTTTGTAATTAAGCCACTATGTTTCTATAAGAGCAAAAAAACTGTATATAGTAGAGACACTACACTTCATAACATACAGTAGTCTCAAATCCAAGGTAAGGTGATCTAGGCAGCCTTGGATGGTGGTGCTATTATAATATCATGCACAGTGCAAACTGCACTTGTCCTGAGTTAGAATGAAAAGCTGCAGAGAAGTGTGATTTAACATGAGTGATGCTTCCAGAGATATCATGGACTCTGTAGAACCAGGCTGGCCTTGAACTCACAGAATTTCATCTGCCTCTGCCTCCCGAATGCTGGGATTAAAGGCATGCTCCACCACTGCCTGTTGTCTTGGATTCTTTATGTGCTTGATTTTGAATTAATTTTTTGGTTGTTGTGTTGTACTGTTGCTTCTTTTTTTTTACTACCTGCATATCCAATTATGTGACTGTCCTAGGGTTTCTATTGCTGTGATGAGGCACCATGACCACAGAAACTCTAATAAAGGAAAACATTTAATTGGGGCTGGCTTACAGTTTCAGAGGTTTTTGTCTTATTATCATCACATTGGCAAACTTGGCAGCATGCAGGCACACACAGTGCTGGAGAAGCTAAGAGTTCTACATCTTGATCCTCAGGCAACAGAAGGAGACTGTGTGTTACACTGGGCATAGTTGAGCACATGAGAGCTCAAAGCCTGCTCCCACAGTGATACTTCCTCCAACAAGGCCACACCTCCTAATAGTGCCACTCCCTGTGGACCAAACATTCAAACACATGAGTCTATAAGGGGCCATTCCTATTCAAACCACCACAGTGACCCTATATGGGGTTGGGACTCACAGTTTATACGCAACAGCTGTGGTCTAGCTGGGCATGGGAACACACACCTATAATCCCAGCATGCATAATATGAAGGCACAAGGATCAAGAGTTTTAAAAAAATATTTGCACTGTGGCTGGCCTGGGACTCATAGAGACCACCTGTCTGCCTCTAGAGTGTGGAGATTAAAGGGTGTGCTCCCACATCTGGCTTGGCTCTATCGTTCTTTATTTTTAAATTGGACTTATTGTATTCATTTATTGGTTTGTGATTGTGAGAATTAAACTCAGGGCCCTTTGCATTAAAAAAACAAAGTATTTGCAAATAGAGCTATATGAGACTCAGTCTTAAAGAACAGTAAACACAAGGGCTGGAGAAATGACTCAATATTCAGACACTCTCTTTTGGCTTCTGAGAGCACTGCTTCACATGTTACATGCATTGACAAAGATACACACACATAAATACTTGTAATCTCACTACCAGAGAAGTGATGGATGACAGATAGATTCCAGGGCTTTCTAGGCAGCCAGCCTAGCCAACTTGATTAGCTTCTGGCCCATGAAAGACCATGCCTCAAAAAACAATAGAAATTGTCGTCTTGCCTCTATACACACATATGCACCTACACCTACACCTACACTTACACACACACACACACACACACACACACACACACACACACACACAAACACAAACACCACATGGAGGAGGGACCATGTCTCTTCTTAGCATATCTACATGCATCTGCCTTCTGGCTCCAGCTGGACCTTAAGTGTTCTTGTGCCACCACCAATGGATCCTGCTCCAGCAAGTACAAAGGGTGTAGACGTTGTAGATTCACCTCCTGCCAGAAGAGCCGCTACTTCTGCTATTGCATGGGCTGTGGGAGTTCACCGAGGGTTGTATCCGAAGAGCTTCCAACAAGTGCAGCCGATGCACATGATATGGGCATCCGTGTAACCACATATGTCTGAAAACCTGTATAAACAACAACAAAAAACCCAACCCATACCCCCTTTTCTATGAAGCATGTAAGTGATTTTTTTTAATTGTTGATTTAGAAAAATGGGGTTGGGGGATAGGAGTCATGGCGCATACTTTTAATCCTAGCACTTAGGAGGCGGAGGCAGGCCTCTGTGAGTTTCAGGCCAGCCTGATTTATTTATATAGTGTGTTCCAAGACAGCCTGGGCTATATAGAGAGAACCCGTTTCAAAAGAAACAAAACAAAATGGGGTGGAGGGTAGC